TGCCATGGCACCACTCCGCCTCTGCATTAGAAGCTCTGCTGACTCTCCCTTAAAATTAAACTGGGGCATCACCGCACACTGATCGCCGACCAATAAAGTGATATGGTAAGTGTAACCGTGATCTACCCGTCTCAAAAAGTCTTAAAATGGGTTCAGCTGTCTGGGAAGAGATAGCCGTCAATCAGTTACGGGCATTTTTATTTTCGTAGATGAACAAAATTCTTTCAATATGAAACACGTTTATTCCATCGGTCAAGCTATCACATTCGTATTAAAAAAAGTGGCAATCCACCCTTCTTAAAGAGTTTTACTATTGAGCTCCCTTAAAAGCAGTAAGAAAAGGTGTAGTGTTTCTACTTATTTACGCGTGAAGCATTTACAGAGAAAAGAACTCTTTTAATTGCCTTTCAGGGTCTTCCAATCAATCGCTTTTGAAGCAAATTGCCCCAGTGAATTTTATTATCTCGGTAATATTCATGAAATTCGAAGTTCAAAAATCAAATTATTATCATTATAAGAAATAGTAAGAAGTGACAACCAACATCTGAGATACTATAGACAAAGTAGGAATAACGTAATGGTCAATTAACCCTTTAATACATATTACACCACTGATTAACATATAAAGAGTTATAATTTCTTGTATTAAAACACCCTAATATTGATTTGACTAGTAATGTAGGCTTGTTATATTTCGCAAAAGGGTTTTTTTTTCTTTTTGTTATTTAAGGTCGCATCAACTACTATGGTCATTAGCGACTACTATTGCTTGTAACGGTATGGTAACTGTGGGTTGACACGATAATGATGATGATAGGGGGTGAAAGGACGAAACACAATACAACCATGCCCGAGGCGGGACTCGAACCCGCAATCCTTCGGTCCGAGATCGCTATGGCACTACTGCCTTAGCGATGCAAAAGAGTTTGTCAGAGAGAAACCTTCCCTTTTCCTTAAAATTATAAAGAGCAGAATAGGAGTAGTAAAATATAAATAATGATATACGAGTATTAAGGAGCATTTCTTGTGAGAATGGTTCAAGGGTCTTGTGAGAATGGTTCAAGGGTCGACAAAACAGTAAATACGAACATGTTCATTTATAATCTCTTCTATGATGGCTTTTCTATATAATAAATTTGTTTAGTGGGACCGGGCAATACCTCCAAGGCTTGGAAAGCAGATGAGGATGTATACATTGCATAATACATTAGCACGCGCTACTAAAAACACGACAAAATGTGCGAGAGTATGTGCTATGAGCGAGGATGTGGTCACAAACGATTGGAACCCTTATTTGAACTGGTCTAAATGGCCGTCACAGGTCCGAGGCCGATTGGAGCACATAAATTAAATTACTGACTCAGTGTTCAAGGTTTTCGTTGTTTTACTATAATAAAATTTCCGTTAAGCACGATATAGCAAGACGACTTCCAGCTACGCATTGGAGCTATGAAATACCATGAATACAAGAGGTATATCAATCTCGAGAAATTTAGAGGCCACGAATCTGACAAGTAGATGACCATGTTCTGTTGATTACTTCGCAAGATGATACACACAGAAATATAAAATAATGCTAAAAATATCATTTAAGAATATCTAACCAAAATTTGAGACTATGGCATACCAATGTCGATATTTGAGAAGGATAAAAAGTGTTATCAACCAAATTACTGAACACGTATTTGGCTTAACTTACCTTGACTGCAAAACTTTAATTATTCGTACATCAATGCTAAATGCAAGAGAAGATTAGTAAACAAAATAAGTTAAATTAGATAATGAAGAGGCATTTTAAAACAAAGCAGGCTATTGAGATTATCCAATTCGGTAACTCAGCCCACATTCTTCTTTACATCTGATCGTGAACACTGTGAAAAAAAGAAGAAAGGAAGTTAGAGGATAAAATGAATTTCGTAAGAGCTCTACTAGGTCTAAATTTGGGGGACAGAGTTACAAAGGAAAGCATAATGACACGCTTAAAGTTTGCTTGGTGGTATATGAGGTTAAAACATGCCAATAGAATCGTTTCCAACAGAGAAACAGGAAGCATCCGAATGTGGTAGCAAATATCTCTCTTATATACAAAGATACGGAGAGACGTAGAATGGGGTGATCGGAACACTTCAGTCTGTAAGGACATTTGGTTCCTAATCATTGTAAAGGAAGAAGAAGACGAAAAATAAAATGAAGAAAATATTTCCATAAATTCCTTCTAATTCACCAAAGGTTGATCACGTTTTAGTGGAAACGAAAACCGGTTCCAATCACTCCAGGTGCGTGCTTTACAGCTACACGATAGATGTCTCAGATTAAGATGCCGCAATTCTAATTTCCGAACGACAGCGGACCATAAGGTAAAGTCACTCTCTGAGCGTCAACTTTCTTCCAGGCTCATTTGTTTTTGTCGACAAGGATCTGGATACCGTACGCAACATCGTTTCACGCAAACCAGTAACTACATATCCTTTCAACACAAGATACCAGTTCATTACGAAGCAGGGTCCAGTTCGATATCTAACGCGTAATATGCGGCAAGAGACCCCTTTACGTACTTTTTTAATCCTTGCAGCAGGTCAAAAAGTCACTCCGGCCCCTTACATAAAAGATCAACGACCTCATATCCTCTTTCTTCACTTCTTTTCTTCCATTTACTTACTTGTCCGATTCTCTCATTCCCATTACAGTGACACTGCATTTTACAGCCAGCCGCTGGCAGTTAGATCTGACGAACTACATACACCATTAGCTCAAGCATGAACTGGCAAAAGACTGAATCGGCAGATGGCCTGGGGCTCGACCAACTTTATAATCCCCTAACATTTGTAGAACGTGCAAACAAATAGCACTTGTTTTGTGGGTCCCCATTTTACAGTGTCACTCATAAACAATAGATGCGACGTTTTGACAAAAGACATAGTAGCAATAATATTTAATGTTCCTGCGTATGCAGTTTTGAAACTTGAAGGAATATATAATGCTACGGCGAGAAATTCTATTGCTGCGTAAATTATTTAATCAGAGATTCTTCTGACGGTTGGAAAACTACATTCATACAGATTTCATTATACCTAAGTATATGATGCATTTTGGAGTTAATCAGGAAGGTTCAAGATGAATTCAAATTTAGGATTAGAAAATATTAAGTTCCCGTTTGACTAAGTCTTTCGGAGAATTAAAGATACAAGCGAGTAACATATAATATAGTGGGTCGTTCCCACGCGTATTGGGTAAATATAGAAAAGTAAAACATATTGTGCGTGGGCTGCAATGGTACAACTCTAAAAACCAGGGGATAAATGAGTTTGAAAATTTCACTTTGAAATGATATGCATTATTCTTGCATTTTCACTTTTTCCATTTGCTGGTGGAGTACTGTACTGTAAGATCCACTGCCCCAACGGCTGGATGATAAACCAATCTGCAATTCTGGGGAATCGTATTATGTTAGTTGCGCTCCCATTGCAGAACACGAGCGACATTTTAAAGCTATTCAGTCACGTTCTCCTGCCTCGATGACTGACACTGCATGGCTTGAAATTCAGTATGGGGTAAACTGCGATCCTAAATCTTTCAATGGATTATGAACTCCTGTAAGAGTCGGTACCGTTGTTGCTAGATTGATCATAGCCTCACCTTTGACTGATGATTGCTTTGATGGATTCTGCTTTGCGACTTTGTGTATGGTAACGGTTAAGCTTCGGTGGTGTGGTATTGTACCCAAGTACGCTGTTCAAATCCAATCGAAGTCGTGGATTTTTAAAGGAGAGACAATTCTTTGCATTCCTTCCTTCAGAGGTGAAGTCAAGTCGGCTAAAATGTAAAAGATCCGTAATCCGGAAAGAAGCCTCTGGGCAAAATCACCTCTCTTGTCGCCCGAGAGACACCTCCTTCCTCTGTCAGATGGGGAAAGAATTGTAACGGAATTTGCGTGGTCAGGCGAAAAAGGTACCTCGGTACCCTGAGCGTCGCCACAGGAAAAAGGAAAAATTGAGTTGTTACGTTTCTAATGAACTTCCGGCACACAACAGTGCATGCACCCAAAGATGATCGCGATCTTGGGTCTTTCCAATATACTTCAGCTCCCGATGCTTTTCACTTACCCGCTGTTGCTGTTCCTTCGCCTCACTCTTGAAGTAATTTCAAATAAGAACACATAAAGTTCCAACATAAAGAAAATACTGTATTGTTCGTAAGCTCTGCTTCACTACTCAATCGGCAAACTGTTACCTGTTCCGTTTTGCGGATATCTTGTTCTCTTTTCTGGAACCAACGATTAATTATTTCAAATACCTTCCCTAAGGTTTCGCCAATTTTCTAATGTACTGAAGACGCTACTAGTTGGGTATTTAATGTTAAATATCACTTCAAATATCTGGAGCTTCTTTCCAGCGTCGATTTCTTACCTTCGAAAGAAACTTCGTCTGCATAGAAACACATTACATTACTCAATTCTTCGTTCCCTTAGTAGTTGCCACACAAAGTTCTATTTTTTCATTTCGCAATGTCTGGAGGAGAGGTACTCTGCTTAGTAGTTTCCCTTGATTCCTCTGATCAACACCAGGCGAATGCCGGAGCAGCACCGTAACAAACGGGCCGCACGAAATATTTGGTTCCTCTTCCTTGTCCTCTCCTATCCCCTTACATACTCTTACACCAACCTGCACTACACCACCACACAAGCCAAGAGGACGGTCGGGAGCTTAGGGTGGGGCGGTGCCCCGCTGGTGGGAGATACCCGGGGAGACCCCTCCAGCCGACGGTAGGCCGGCGCCGGTTCTCGCCATCCAGTGGGGGAAGATTATCACCTCCCGACCATAACATGCACTACACTTACGGGAATAACGACAGTTGTTATTGTAGTAATAATTGACACACCCGGCATCCCTAATCAATCAATGAACTAACCTCGCCTTAGTTTTGGATCTGTATCTCTGGTTGTTTCTGGTGGCTGGAAGGGCCAGTCGCCTATCAACCGCGTGGCGCCTTGGGTGTTGCAGGGGCGCGGCGTGGGAGGAGCGCTTCCTGGAGGTGGTGGGCGAGGCGGACCGCCACCTCTTCAAGCACATCTCCATCGCGCGCTTCGCCTCGCGCACGCTCGACATCGAGCTGGAGCGCAACACGCGCACCGTCATCCCGTACTTCAGCACCACCTTCATCATCATGGGCATCTTCTCCATCACCTCGTGCATGATGGCGGACTGGGTGCGCGCCAAGCCCTGGCTGGGGCTGCTCGGCAACATCTCCGCCGCCATGGGCACGGCGGCCGCCTTCGGCGTCACCATGTACATGGGCGTCGAGTTCATCGGCATCAACCTCGCCGCGCCGTTCCTCATGCTCGGTGAGTGACGCCTCGCGTTCTTTTCTTTCTTTTTTTATTGGGGGTTGGAGATTGACAGTTGTGTGTGATGAAAGGACGCCTCTCCCGTTTCCATGGAAGCAGCCAATCATATGGTGAAGTCAGGTTGCTGACAAACTGGAAACAAATGACCATCGCGAAGCGAATTTTCCCTCCCGCCGTCCACGTATCTAATTGCTGCGCGCGCATTCTGTGTTGTGACAAGTTGTGTTGTGGTTAGTCGTTTCAGAACAAGCTCGTACTTCGTAGAATATGAGTATTTCATTCAGTTACTTTTACAGGTATTTATTTCAAGTGTTTATTTTCGTGTACGCAACCTTGCAACGTTGCTTCTTACCACTCGCAACTGTCAATTACCAACTTATTTTAATTGGACCGTAGCTGTAAGGCGGTTCGGAGATTTAAATTAGGTGGCGATGCTGATGGGTAAATACGGGATCCTAGGGTCTTTTGACGGTGCTTCTACAAGGTATGAGGATATTGCTCGGTTGCACGGTGAGGGGAGAGTAGTGCGAGAGAAAAGAGGAATATCTATCTCGATATTCCCATTCACCTGTCAACTACAAATGCAAGAGATCATTGCATCGACTTTAGCTGGCGCTACATTTTCAAAAAATATTTGACTGGCTCTTATCACTATACCACTTATATTAGACTTGAAATCTATCGGTAAATTCGTTTCAAATAAAAAGCAATAAAACAATTTTGTTAACACACCACGCATCTGTTATGTGCTATAGAATTCCCCAGTACAGTGACGCTTGTCATGGTTACTTTGTCATAATTCCTCGCAAACGGGCGGGAGACCGCCATTAGTGCGGGTGTGTCAACCAAGCACTGAGCACATTGCATTAATATGTTCTCACAAGCCAAAAAAATCACGGTCAATTAGAAGCAACGATGTTGCCTCGCCTTATAACGAAACTGTACAGTTCAGTGTGGTCAAGGACGTCGGGGATGCTCTCAAACTCTCGCGGTCTACATCGACATTTCGCGCGATGTGATTGAAATAAAATATTTCGTACTTACATCCCTCTATAGAGGAAAGCATTGCGATATTTCGCATCTTATTCGTTGTCTTGATACAGGCGGCTTTTCAATCTGCCCGATACGTCAATCGCTGCAAAGGACAGTGCATTTAAAGACCTTCAAACTAGATTTCCTGGAATGTGAAGTTTCAATTTGTTGGATGTCAGTGGATTCACAGGAACATAATTTTGACTGATGGATGCTAATTCAAAACTGCCCCCGTGATCTGCTCGATTAGTTCGCCTGCCATCGCGGAGGAAATGTCGACTGCAGTCGAGAACAACCAGGCGATTCGATCTTGCCCTAAGAATATCCAATTACTTCAAGTTCTCTTTTCATGCGTCATTTCTTTAATTAGCAAAGAATATAATCCGCCTTCAAACTCAACCTGTAATTTCCATTTGAGAGCATGCCTCATCCCAACTTCACTTAACGGGTTTTAAATGCAGTGGAGAAGGCATGAGCCTGCTCGAATATGGAGTAACAGTGCAAAACATGTGCAAAACGGTCCATGATATCTTCATCGCAAATTGTTGTCACTTTTCAAGTCCTAGTCTTGCTCTGCATATTTTGGCACCCCATTTCTCACTTTCCGAGCGTAGGCCTCATACTTTTCTTTTATTTATATTCGTTCCCTTACCGTTTTCTATCCAGTAGATTTTTTTATAGACCCTCGATTCTTCGTTGGTTAGCGTGCTCGCTATCTACAGTACAACCCCGGAATCGATTCCCGGCCGAGGCAAAATAAAAACTGTGCGCTTTCCTTACAAATTTCTCAGTATCTATTGCTGTGTGATGATGAGAAAGCCCAGCCTAAAACTATGAAGACCAGAATATAGGTGGATAGAAAATATACGGTGAAGGGATGTCCTCGTGCTAACCACACGAACCCCTTATCCTGTAGGGGAGAGGCTAGGTCTCTGCTGGTGGGGCAAGTCACGTAGCAGGCTGTCGAGTCATAGAACAGATTATTTTATTGTAATTTGAAAATACAGCAATGATTTAAGGTAAAATGAACATTTCTATGCAATGTTATACTTACTGAAAAACGACGATTTCAAAGTAATGCAATTGTGATACGTGATATGTTACTTTTTCATATTTGGTCACGAGCTGTAGACCCTAAGATACACTTTAGCTCATCGCCCATATTTTACTGAAGATTTGTTTTTGGAATTAAAGTAACTAGTACATATTCTTTTAAAGTCGACGGACTCACAGCTTAAGCGAAAAATATTTTAAATACAATCATGAAACTTATCACATTTCATTGCAAGTTAAATATATATTCACATGGTCATATTCGTATTATGAAAATCATATTTATTATCATTACTTTTTAAAAGACCTACATAACGTAATATTAATGACGAACCCTTCTTTAGTTCAGAAGGTAAACGTGTTATATATTTGAAGCAGATACTAAATACGAAGAAAATCATGATATAGTGGTACTTTAAATCATACATAAAATTTGTCATTGAGAATATTACTTTCTCCTTTCTGCCAAGTTGAGTAATAAGATATACTCCTTGCACATGCTAATTAGGAAGTGGAGAGAACTGCAAATTTTATACTAAAATCTTCCTTGAATAGAATTTCAACCAGAATATACTTTACCACTCGAATTCAAGATTGTTAAGAAACATATTCCAGCTGCGATAAGAATAAAAAAATTAACTTCATTATTATTGAACGAAGGGCTTTCTTTATACGAGCACTAGCGAAAAGACAGCATTGCGAAACAACATCACTCTCATTTTTTATTGATACTGTAAATAAATAAAAATACATAAAATAAATACAAATAATTTAAAATACCAAAATGAATAGAAGTAAATTAACTGATACTGAACTGAGTTCTTACGAAATATACTTGTACCGTAGCACGAGCTGTTGCAGGGCCGGGCAGTCTCAATGCACCCATACAGTCACCGGGAAAGTGGGTTTACGATCTCGCTAAAAGTCATGCTTTTTTTTGGTTCAGCGCGAAAGAAATGCAAGGACTAAAAATATGAGTACAAAAGGGTTGCCTTGCATCTTCCACTTGCGAGAAAAGTCTTCCATTGTTACGACTCGTCCTCCCGATCTTTTATAAATAACGTTCTTACTAATTACCTTACAAAAAAAGTATAAATAATTTTCAATTTTTCTCCGAACTATCATAAATCTCTAAATAGCTAATACTATGAAATATCTAACATCTTCAATAATAAATGTTACGAGACATATTTATTTTTATTGCTTGTAAAACTCAAATACATACCCATATTGCACCTCATGCATATTTCTTTCAAAACCGATTTCTACTTTAGAAGAGACCGTTAATCGACTGAAAGAGCTGAGACTGTGAAATAATTGTAATATGCAGGATAAAGATTAACAGTGTTCGCAGTTCAGTGAATTTCCATATATTCAGTGAATTTCCAAACACGATCGCGTTATGAAATTCTGCTTTTTTTAAATGTCCTTCTTTATTTCTCATACTGAAGTAAGCAACCGTAATTTCACTCGATCCAGTTCCGTTGGGGAAAATTCGCAAACCATAATATTTCATTAATTGAAGATAATGAAATGAAATTAAAATTATGATGCTGGAGACAATGGCTGCCAAACTGTTCAAAACTTAAAGAATAATACTAGCAAAACAGTTTTAAGGAATAAAACATCATTATCGTCAGCAATTTACCTGAAAATAAGCTCTGATGTCTCGTGCCAATGACATGGATTTCGTAACCATCACTTCCAGAGTTATCCCGAGGCAGACACAAATGCGAATGTATACATTAGCCTACGACAACGACCACAATGACAGCACGACGTCGGCGACAGTGTCGATAACAGCAACTCAACAGCGACGTAACGACCAGAATAACGATGAATATTACTTCATAATAATGTTAATCTGAAAACACGTACATGTTAATTTTTATTTTGAAAATAATACTACACGCTAGAAAAAAAAGTATTTATAATAGAGGAATAATATTTATAATTATTCAGCTTTATTTTCTGATTTTAGATACATTTAAATGAAGTAAATGACAGCACTTCATCATTCTATGCTCTAGTGATGAAGGAGAGTGAAGCTTCAAATGGGATCTGAATGCTTCATCAACCATCCTCAATATTAAACCTCGGCTTCGGTGGCTCAGGGCATCGACTGATGACACTACTGTGCCTATGACCGGGAGGTCCTAGATTTTGAGTTTCGACGGTGGGTCTGGAGGACAACTCTAGCGACAGGCTGCTCTGATCGGTAGTTTTCCGTGATTTTTTTTTTCGATCAATACCAGGCGAATTCCGAAGCAGTACTCTAGCAATCAAGCCACGGACGCGCACGAACTTACCTTTCTCTTCCTTGTTCTATCCACGCCCCCTTACATACACTTACACTAACATACACTACACTACCACACTTGCCAGGAGGCCGGTCGGGAGCTTAGAGGAGGTTGAGGGAAAATTCCGCTAGCCGAAGCTAGGTCCCTCATCCAGCGGGGGAAGATCGAGCAAAAACGTATACTACACTTACGGGAATAATTATCTTGTTAATTGACGCGCTCGGAATCACTAACAATCAATCATGTAAGAATTTATCTTTCTCTTCCTTGCTCTATCCACGCCCCTTCCGTATACTTACATGCACTGCACTTGTCGGAAGACCAATCGGGAGCATAGAGCTTGTTCCGTCTGAGGCGTTGCCCCGTTGGTAGGAAATACCTGGATGAGGAAAACCCCGCTAGCCGACGTGTAGCTCAGCGCCGAATCTCAGAGGGGAACAAGACTGCCACCTCCCGTGATAAAACATTCACTACACTTACGGGGCAAACGTTTAATGACCACAGCTGTTCTCGCGCCCTTTAATAATCAATCAATCTTTGCAGAAGTTCGCTCCTGAAAACTTTTTCTACAATAAAAGTTATAAATTATGGTAAACACAAATATATATTGTT